TGTATTTCTTCTGTAACCCTATCACAAAATAAAAAGGCAATACGGCTGGAGGTCTCTGGAGGACCAGCTCTGCCAGGCAAGTTCAGGGGCATGTTGCTGTGGTTGCTGATGAAGTTACTTTTCTCCTCTGATGTAACTTCTATGTGCCAGACTCAGTGGAAGCTACTGTCACCATAGCAGAGCAAAGAGGTGGGAAAATGTCTCTGTCTCACCTCATAGAGTTGAACTTGAACTGCCAGAGAAAGTGGCTGGTGCTAATGATCCAAGCTGTGGACTGGGAGAGCAAAGTCATGGCCCATTTTGTTCCATTTTGCTGACTCTGCTGCCAGGGCAGCGATCTGCTCCATAGGCAAGGTAACCAGCAGCTGGGCTGGCAGTGCCGCAGGCTGCCACCGCTGTCGGCTTTCATAAAGGTCGGTCTGTGTCCCTACAAATCCTATGTAAATAATCTGGACTATTAATTATTTCATTTTCTAATCTTGGTTTTTTCAAGTACCATATAGAAAAAGCTTGCATTTGACCATTCTGTTTTGCTTCTTTATTTAACTTACTGTTTTCTAAAATGTTTTTCTAGACTAGTAAATGCAAAGTATTCTGAAAAGTAAAGCTTAAATTGAGATTTTTCTTTTTTTTATTTTTTTTTTAAATAATGAGCATTTAAAAACATAAGGAGCTGTGTTCATGAGTCAGAGCCTACTTGGAGTGTTTTTACGCTTACAGGTCTAAAAATATAAACAGAAGCAAAAGATAATATAAAATTTGTCATTGTTTTAAAGGAGCAAAGATGTAGTCAGTGTAGTTAAATGATATGCATTTTTCAAAATATAGAACTGTTTTCTTTAATAACATTCTCAATTTAAATAAATATTTAAAGTTTCAGAACAGTTTAAGAAAAAGAACTTTGAATGTTTCCAATGTCAGATTTTCTTTGTGTAAGTTGATAGTGTAAAATTTCAATTTATAAACTGTGAAATGATCAGTGATCGCTTTAATATGAAAAATACAGCACTAGTTATTAGACATTTCAGAGGTCTGATGAAAGTATTCATTTCCAGCTAGATCATGTCTAAGAATTTAGCTGAACATCAATATTTATATTTAGGTAGTGAAGTAGTTTCAATCATACCTACTTTCAAGTTCTAAATATGGACCGTGTTTACATTAGTGAATCATCAGCATAGAACGTCAAGCTGAAATACAATCTTTTTCTCCAGAGGTGCTTAAATATACATGACCCTAATCTTGGACCATAGGTGCATAGAAGAGTTGTGTATTTGAAAACAAAAACAAAACATAAAAACAATTAAAATGTCATCTGCACTCCTTGCAGTTTCTAGTGGTAGGCAAGACTTTGTATCCCGGAGTATAAAACTGCAGTGAATAAATCGATCGCTTCTTACGTACAAAAAGAAAACACTACCACCTTTATATTGCCTTGTGCGTTTACTGCACAATTATTCTGTTCAAATGTTGTTCATGATAGCATGCAAGTTTTGTTTCTTGGCACTTGCAATTTGTTTATTTTTAAAAAAAGTCCCAACCTTTTCTATAAAAGTCTAGTCTGATAGATTCTTGGACTAAGCCTACACTATATTAAAGGCACAGTACAAAGAAGCTGCTGAAGAAATGTCCCTTTACTCTGTGAATATAGAATCATAGAATCACTTTGGTTGGAAAAGACCTTTAAGATCATCGAGTCCAACCTTTAGCCTAACCCTGCCATCCCACCACTAAACCATGTCCCTAAGCACCTCATCTATCCTTATTTTAAATACTTCCAGGGATGGGGACTCGACCACCTCCCTGGGCAGCCCATTCCAGAGCCTGACAACCCTTTCTGTGAAGAAGTTTTTCCTGATGTCTAGCCTAAACCTGCCCTGGCGCAACTTCAAACCATTCCCCCTTGTCCTATCATCTGTTACCAGAGAGAAGAGGCCGACCCCCACCTCGCTACAGCCTCCTCTCAGGCAGTTGTAGAGGGTGATAAGGTGTCCCCTCAGCCTCCTCTTCTCCAGACTAAACAACCCCAGTTCCCTCAGTTGCTCGTAAGATTTGTGCTCCAGACCCCTCACCAGAGCTTTGTTGCTCTCCTCTGGACATGTTCCAGCAATGCAACATCTTTCCTGTAGTGAGGGGCCCAAAACTGAACACAGTATTCAAGGTGCGGCCTCACCAGAAAAGTGAAATCAAAATAGCTTTATAAGTTTTGCTTGCAGATTAATTATTGCCCAATGTCTATGCTGCTCACTGCTTCAAGAGCTACTGCAGTGGAGAGAGAGTGGTGTGTTAGAAGAAGCTGTGATGGAAGACAAGCAGGAAAGAAATCTTTGTATGGTCAGTGTATGGCATAAACAAGTTTGTAATGACAGAAGCTCTTCTGGAAACTTGACTGAGAAAAGACACATCATTTCTGGCATTCATACTCTTACCTAAAATATGCGTCTTTGCACCAAGATAAAATAATAGCAGAGTTTGGGTAAAAGATCTTATATTGAAAAGTGTAATACATTGTGGTTTAATATGGTTTTTGGGAGGAGGAGGGAAGGGGTTGATAAGTTCCAATTGTTTTGAGTGAAGAAAAGCATCTTTAATAATCATAAATTGGCATTGGCTTTATAATACTTGGGTTTCATCATTCTTTTGCATGCAGTGTCCAGGAGCCTGACCTGGCAGTCAGATCAGGGAAGTATCTTCTTAACACTGGTGGCATAGTTCAGTGTAGTAGTGGACAGAATCTGTTTTGCAAGTTTCATTGTCAAGGGTAGGTTCTTTTCAACATGTTCTAAGTTGCTACCTTTTGCTTTGGAAGTGGTGCTTTAGATTATTTTCATCTGTTTTCTCTGTCTGCCTGATTGTTTTTAAACTGCAATATAGAACCTCATTAAACTGAACCAGTCCATGAATGTGCCCTAGCTTTATGTGGAAAAACACAACTGCAGAAGACTAGTTTTAGAAGTCTTAACTGTAAGTAGCCTGAAGTAAAAGCAAACACTACTTTTGTTTTAGTACATCTTTGGTATTTCACATACATCTTTAGAGCACTGCATGTGCCTGCATGGCTTTTACATATGTAATGCTTCATAATACACATTTCCAGGAGGAGCCATAATTGCTAGCCTGAGGTTTTTTAGCTCAGATCTCAAGTAAAACTATTCTTTGGTCGGGGGGAGCTGGTAATTTCTGATGGTAAATAGTACAAATTCATAACTGTGTCTTGGGAAGAAAACCAGAAATAATTAGTTAGAGTGTATTGAAATGTTTTTATCAATTTGTACAATATGCATAGAAATCAGTAAAACAACAGCAAATTCTCATAAAGCAGGCATGATCTTCAACTGTGTTTATTTTGTTGAAGACCTAACTTCAGATTTAAACCAGAATTTCAAGACTACCATACGCTGTTTTCCTTCTGCTTTTGACATGACAGCTTGTAGCATTGCCTGGAAATTGTTTTCTGTTGTTAGTCTCCTCCATTCAGGAAAAAAATCCTGGAATAGCGTAATGGAAGTGTCATGCTTTTTTAAAACATTGGCATAATCCTTGAGAACATAGAGTTTCTGGTCATTTGTGTACTCAGTCTAATATTATCTGCCTTGTATTAAGTAGCAAGTAAACAGGCATCAGAGATATGTAGCCATTTCCTGTTCTTTATTAAAGAGTGTCATCTTAATCATTATTGTAATTGTTATAATAGATTCATTATGACAGTCCTTGATACGGTACCTTCTGATATCATCCATGTCAACAACATTCATGTGTTCTGCTTTATCCTAAACTTGTCAACATTTTCCAAAATGCTTTATTTTTATTGTGGGGAAGGTTGTCGATTTGCAAATTACTTTTGCTATTCAGACTAGAACTTTTGTAATATTGATTCTTTGGGAAAAAGTATCAGGTCAAAATGTAAAATATTCCAGTATTTAGGAGCAACTACTTGAAAACAGAAGCAACTGAAAGCAGTAGATAGAATTATATGTATGCCTGTTGCTGTTATTCCTGCTATAATGCATAGTTTTCACTACAAAGTAAAAGCATTGCTTAACCATTTTTCACCAGTTTACAAAGTATTATAAATAATGAAGACTTTTCAAAATAGAAAAGAACTTTAAGAGTTCTGTATCTAGAAAAAGCTGCAAATTTTAGGTTATATATTGGGTTATAATCTCAGCAGATTTTTTTAGAGTCTTAGGTGAATGAGCTTTCTAACTTCCACTGACTTTCAACATTTTTTAATGTCTTCAGGTTCCTAAATTATTTTACTTTTAAGATTGAACCTTTTTTCAGGCTTTGTTAGGCTTTTCTTTGAAAAAATCTATTGTTCAAGGTATGCATGAACTGTAGAAGCAACAGAGAAAGAAAGGAGGCAAGACTTGTGACAGGTAGTTGATGAGCACCAGCCTGAACCAAGTTGTTTCAGTAATATGTTCCTCAATCTCAATCATGAATTCTGCAATACTTTAAAAATTCCTAAGATAATTTGGAGCTCGTATGAAAGGGAGCTGATGTGATAGGCATCCAGTAACCAGGCAAGCTCCTCTGAAGGGAATGGTTGGGCAACAGCTTAATGTCACGCATCTCATGCTTGAACAGAAGTGCCAGAAGATGCTTATTTTGCTTATTCGTTTCATAGGGCTGCTTACTGTATCAAAGAAACTTTTTATCTAGGACAGGTAGAATGATGTTCTTACTTCAGGAGACTTGGGTTTTCTCCTGATCTTAATCCATGTAATTTCAAGCTAATGTGCAAAGCACTTGATATTTTCATGTGTATGAAGACACTGTTCTGTATCCACAATTTACTAGATGTATACATTGTGTATATGAAAACATAATCTATCGAGTTCTTTCATCTGTTTGACATGTGTTAAAATTGTATACAAGAATTCTATTCAATCTACATGCATCACACTAGTAGAGTTAGGGTATAAATAATATCCTCTGCTTTGTCGTTCATAAACTTTTCAGATGCCAAATAATATAGTGACTATTAATGTTTCCAGGCTTTGCTCTCTGTACATGATACTGTTGCTCAGAAGAACTACGATCCTGTCTTGCCCCCCATGCCTGACGACATTGATGAGGAAGAAGATTCCGTTAAAATAATCAGGCTTGTCAAAAACAGGGAACCATTGGTAAGTAACCCCATGTTTTGTTTTGGGGTTTTATGTTTGTGAACAGGGCAGGGAGTGTTCAGATTATGCATACGAATGGGTGACATTAACTTGAAATGTGGACAGACGGACATTATGCATGTTTATTCATAACACTTAGTAACACGCTTCTGACTTCGACTTCCGTTCGCGGTCATTATTAGTAAAGCACATGAAATGAATAACAAGAATTTGTTCATTCATGGTGTTTGAGCACTATATATGTGGGCCCACCTGAGCATTTAGATCAATAATATATTCATCTTTTATCTTGAATTCAAATCAGGAACTTGTTTTAAAATGAGAGAGGGAGAATGAATCCCCAAAGAAATCTTGACCTTTGTTGTGAACTGTGCCTGTTAACATTCATGTAAAAAAATGTGACCTTTCAATACACTGAAAAGAAAGCATAAAAACATATTTTAAAATACTTGAATTGAAATCTGGGCAAATTTAAGATGTCTGTTGTTGTACTTTGGATTATGAATACTAGAAAGTTAATATCTTCACGGGGATATCTGGAAAAATGAAAGAACTAAACCTAGGTTGTATTACAAGAATATTAAAATGCTTTACTGATTTTGTTATTTTTATTTGCTGTAGAGTGGGAGTCATCTTGTATAAAATTTAACTATATTCTTTTTCTCCTGCAAACCAGTCAGAGCTTTGTTTTATGTTGTACTGGATGTTTGTTTTAATGGATAGCAATCCTGAAGACATATCTGCAAAGTTACTTTGAGAAGGACATGATTCTGTACCTAAGATGACAGAGGGAGAGCAATGCTTCTGTTAGATGTACAGGGGTAGCTTGCCCCACAGTAGATGTCTTACTATCGCTTTTATTCTTGATGGATTTCTGGCATCAGTAAACAAGAAACAAGTTTTGGTATTGACTGTCTGTAGGTGCCCATGGGTATAATTAAAAGTTTGACCATATGGAAAGTTTTTACTGTGTTCTAACATATTAAACATTTTTTTCCCAGAATATTTAAATTACAGCTTTAAGCTTTCCTCTTTTTTTATCAAAGAAATTTTTTGAGGAAGAAAAGAAACTTGCTTTAGGATTTAGTATCAGAAAGAGTATTAATTCTGGAAGGTGTGAAAGAATTTGAACATGTAGTGCGAGATGAGTTGTAATTGAGCAGCTTATTTTTAGTGTTAATGAAAACACCCTTGTTGTTTTTTCTTGAATTTGTTAGAAACATCTCAACATCTTAATTTACATAGTTTCATGTTTCAAATGTGATTTGCTACTAAGACTTTTGTGAGTTAAATACTGTAAGTTAATAGTACCTCAAAGTGAACTGGATAAATAGCAATTTTGAAAACAAAACTGAGACATTTTCTAAAAACTTATCAGAGATACACACTGTATATTGGCTTTTGAGATTTTAAGACCTTTTAAAGGGACAAATAGAGTTACCTAAGGTTATCCTTGGGCTGTTCCTCAGATTCCGCTCTTGCCCATTCACTCCAGTGGGATACTAAACTTTTCCAGACACCTGAGTATCTGTTGTAGTTTAACCTTGATAGGCAGCCCAGGCCCACCCAGCTGCTCGCTCACTTTCCCCAGCAGGATGTGGGAGAGAATCAGAAGGATAAAAGTGAGAAAACTCATGGGTTGAGATGAAGGCAGTTTAATAGGTAAAGCAAAAGCTGCAGGCAAGCAAAGCAAAATGAGGAATTCATTCACTATTTCATATTGGTGGGCAAGTGTTTAGCCATTCCCAGGAAAGCAGGGCTCCATCATGGTGACTTGGGAAGACAACACGCCATAAGTCCAAATGCCCACCCTCTTCCCCTTCTTCCCCTCAGCTTTTATTGCTAAGCACGACATCATACAGTACGGGGTATCCCTTCGGTCAGTTGGGGGGAGCTGTCCCAGCAATGTCACCTCCCAGCTTCTTGTGCCACCCCAGCCTCCTCACTGGTGGGGTGGGGTGAGGAGAAGAAAAGGCCTTGACTCTGTGTAAGCCCTGCTCAGCACTAACAAAACATCCCTGTGTTATCAACACTTGTTTCCAGCACAAATCCAAAACGTAGCCCCATACCAGCTACTGTGAAGAAAATTAACTCTATCCCTGCCAACACGTGCACCAAAAAGGTGCATCCAGCTTAGTACAACTGTTGTGCTAAGGAGGTAACAAACAAGGTTTTTTATTAGAACTTTCTTTTAGTAGGCAGAACGCAGTCATGGAAAATATAAAAAAAAAAAAAAAAAATGTGAGAGAACTCAGTCTTCAGTTTGTCAAGACTGTTTACTGTAATTACCAAGACAAAAATAGCCTTATAATGGAACCTGTGATAGACCTGTTACTAGGAGGAACCAAAGGGGGGGAGCTAATTGCAGCCTACAACTACTTCAGAGTGGGGAGATCACAAGGACAATTGAGTCAAACTCTCTCAGCAGTGAAAGATGCTAAAATACAGGGTAATGGCCACAACTTGCAGCCCTGGGAGTTTTAGACTGAGAATTAAGAAAAGTATTTAATTCAGTGGGAAGTACGGCACTGGAGCAGACTGGCCAGAGATGTGGAATCTCCAACCTATTACACAGTGCAATGGTTGACCTGATCTGGCATTGACAGTAGTCCTACTCTGAGCAGGAGATTGGCATAAATGACTTCTAAAAGTTGCCCTGCATCCAACATTTCAAAGATTGTAGGTTGTCTGTAGGGGAAAGGACTATTTGTGGTCTCTCGAAATCCCCAGCCTTTTTTGATGTTTTAATTTTGTTGGAGAAGAGCTTATGGTGAGTTCTGTTTCGCATGTTACTTCTTCTCCAGGAAGACTTTGAAGAATAACGTATAGTGTCTTCTTCCTCTTCCATACCCCACCTTCAGTCCATTTTAACATTATTTATGTTAATGCCAAACATCCTTTGTGGCAGATGGATAGTCAATTATTCTTATGACACCATCATCACAATACGTAACAAACCTATTGTTTGTGTCTTTGCCTTGCCCAGACTAATTTTTTTTTCTTGGGTAGGGGTGAGAAGAAAACATGGATAATGATTCAGATAAGGTCTTACCAGAATGTAGCATAGGTGGAATATATAAAGACAAGTTTATGCTAGGTATATTAGATGTACTGCATCTATGCTTCCTGAAGTTGTTTTACTGAAGAAAGGATATGCCATGAACTGTGTTTACTGAACTATTTAAAATGTCATTTTCTCTTTATTTCCGTGTATTTTTAATAGCTTTTCCTTCAGATCTTGCTCTAAAGTCTTAGATATTCTTAGCTGAGTCCAGATCAAAGAGTCTCTACTTACTCAGTTTATCTGTTCCCTGTTCACCAGTCAAAGCCTGACTTCGCTTACATAGTTATATCAGGATTCTTGCTGCTGAACTTGAGATTGGAGGTGCTATACAATATTTTTTTTCTGGGATGGAGATTGTCTGGTTCCTTGACTTGAAGATACTAAGCTCTCTGAACTTTTCTTTCACCTCAGATGCATTCCTCATTCTCTATTTGTGGGCAAACAGTAGAGACTGTTTTTCTGCAAAATCGTAAGCTTTACATCAGCTGCACACCCTGGCAGTGCATGAATTGGATATCTCCTTTGGATGACTTTCAACAATATTCTCTGTGAAGAAAATTAGGCACTCTCTCTTAACTTCTTTGGAATACATAGTTGGACTCGATGATCTTCTGGTTGAACTCAATGATCTTAAAAGTCTTTTCCAACCTAAATGATTCTATAATTCTATTCTGTACCTAGTGACCATTTTTATATAAAACTGCACCATATTTCCTCTTCTACTTGTTCATGCTTTTCTCAGAGTTAAGCACCTCACCAATGTTCTGAGCTGGTGTTAATCACATATTAATGAAGCCTGAGTTCCCAGGAGTAATCATCTCAAAAGAGAGGAAAACACATGGTTTGTGGGAGGGCCTTCTGTTTGCCAGATTTCATCAGTTCAGAAGTCAGTGCTGAACTTTCCTCCAGTTTTTTGGAAGAGATGATTTAAGTTTTTTGTTAATCCTTCCACAGGTTTGGATTTTTTTCCTAAATGCTCTATTAGCAAATGCCATTCTAGCAGTGTCTCACTCAAGCGAGGTGAAATTGTGTTAGGAGGTTTTATCTGAACAAAATAATTTAGAACATCTCTGAACTTTACATAAAGAGAAGTAGAAACATCTCTTTTCAGAGATAGTCCAAAATTCACCTGCCTATAATTAGGCTTTTTATCAGGTAGCTTGGAGGGTTTTAACTTACCCCTACCTCTCCAGGGCTTTTTCAGCCACTGCCATGTTCCTGATTAGCATTCCTGATATCCAAGATGTACAACCATGCTACCAGGAGTTCAGTTCCTGGCCTCTCACTACTTCCAACTCCCAAGTGATATTCCAGGTTTGTTACAGCTGTCATGCAGTTACTCTGAATAGGATGCTTCTTCACGTTAAGATGGTTGGTTCTTCATCACACAGATTCATTTCACATAAATTTAGCCATTTGAAAATTAATCTCTATGCTGTGTCTACAGTGAAGAGAAAAAAAAAGCAGCTCCAGAGAATGAAACGTGCCCTCTATTCAAGACGCCTGCCTTAATGAAAGGATGGTTCATTCTCCGGAGCTCCCTGTTTCTTTTCATTAACTATAGGAGGAGCCTAGACACCTAGCTTGAACTAGGTGCCTGATTTCCATAGCTGAACTTGGGTGAAATGAATTGTGGTGATTTAAGAGGGTTGTTTACATGTTCTGCCGGTGCAGATTCCACAGCTCTTGCTTGCCTCTCACTCTGGGTCCCCATAGCTCAGTTCTTTAGTTAGTGAATGAACCCAACTATTTTATAGGTGGGATTAATTTGGGTGTAGGGACAGCTTTAGTGTGCATAGTCTACACGCGTGTGGACATCAACTTTTAAATAACTCTTTATTATAAGGTAGGTAACTGATATTTGTATTTGCATTTTCAATAGAGAATGAATCTGTGTGTGCTTTTGTTTAACAGAAAGGTATGCAAAAATATTACTGATGTTTCAAACTCTCTTGTTAGTAATTTATTTTACAGGCTTTTCTTTCTTTCTTTAAAAGTAAAGGCTTCTAATGTTTTATTCTGGAACAGGCAGATAAATGGATGAACTAATAAAGCTCACATCTGTGAAACCCTGAGTGATGCTTACCAATCAGTGTTACTACATTAAAACTGGAAAGAAAAAAAAAAAAACCAACCCAAAAACCAGTGAAAGAGCCTTGCTGAAGGAGCTTGTATTATTTTTAGTGCTTTTGCATGGTATACCTTTAAACATTTTCATAGTCTGATCACCATATGGCTCCCAAACTCCTTATTTTTCCCTTTAAAAGTATTTTAAACTGAGCTATGCTATTACATCTGTATATGTCTCATTTAGGGTAACTTACACTTTTGGCTAGCAACACTGAAAATATTTTCCAGCTCTCAAGGTCCAGTCTAACCTTCTTCCATTTTTAAAGCTCTAAATGAGGAGCTGCACTGCACATGTAACTGAAAGTACTGGAGCTGAACATCTCATAAGGAGAAATTCTTGCCAGATTATATATACCTCATAGTTTAAGCAGGGCTGGCAGCAGTACAAGAGAAGCTGCTTTTTCAGAAAATCAACTTTTTGGGTTTTCAAAAAGAAATCCACTTGTGTTTGATGATTTCTTTTTAAGGATTCTAAATTGGGAGGGAAGGGGAATTTAAGGAACCCTCTTCTTTCTTTGTGTACTATAGGTACAGCAAACCCCCACAAACTCAAATAGTGCTTTTCATGGGTCTGCCCCTTCACTTTGAGTTTGCCATAAAGGTGTTAACGGACAGTGAGCTAGTTTGGGTTAAATAATTTCCCTGTAAATTCGAACTTGATTTTCTGCTGATAATTCCAGTAATTCCAAATTAGCTGTTATCATTGTGGGGGTATCTTTTCAAATTGGATAATCTGCACTAGGAATTAATTTTGTGCCAGCACATTGGTAGTGATAATCACGTAAAGCTTGAAGTGGCTGTTCCACTTGGACAAGAGCCTTACCGTTACTTCCAGATGCTGTCTGGGTCAGCACTGTGGTCTTCCGTCCCACACAAGTTTTTTCTAGGGTCTGTCTAAAAACAAGATGAAATGAAGTACATCCTAATGCTGCTTTTTTTCTTTTTTTCTGAATATATCCATCAAAAAGATCCTTTGTACTTTTAAACACATGTAACTTTCCAGGTATTAATAATAAACTTCAAATTAATAGCTGTTGCTGCAAGGTCAGAGATAATATTGCGATATATGCTAGAGGGTTTAATGCTTTGTTTAATATTCCTAATGGTATGCAATTCTTTTTGCACAGAAGTCTAATCATGAGTTCTTAAAGTGAGATTAGCTGCAGCTAAATCTTTATCTTTCTGAAACACCCAGACTGATTTGAAACTGTAGTACAAACAAATGCTCGCTGATGCAATTACATTATAAACAACACATAAGAATAAGGCTGGCAAATTGCAGAATTACTTTGCTTACGGATAGAACATCAACGTTGCTGTGGGGTGCTGGCCACTGATAAAGTTTCGCCAAAAAGAATATTGTGTGGTGACTGTTTTAATTTTTCTCTATTTGCAATAGTTGCAGCTTGCATATACTAAAATATAAATTAATCTCCCATTTTTGTCTTGTGCTGTATTTCCATCTCAGAGGAAAGGGAAACAAGTTTATTTGCAGTCAGTAAAATTATTAAGTGTAGTAAAATGTCACCCCCATTATTAACTTTTATATGTTTCAGCTTCACATCCATGAAACACTGAAAAATTGAAGTAGGGATAGACACGATGTTCACGCTTCATCTAAACATACAGAAAGCTAGCTGTAAAAGCAATTTCATTATTCAAGGAGCTTTATAAAGTGCTTCTGTGCCTTACTTCAAGCACAACGCTTCTCTGATGGAAGGAAATTCTAACCACTGTCTTGCACTCAGAGATGAAGTAATGCTGTTTGTTCACTAATCGAAAATATGGAAATTTTCAGAAAATTGAGTTACCTGCCAGAGTCCTAAACGTCTCTGTTGATTAACAAAGTTAGAGCTATCGCAGGTAACTAATTGCATTGACGTGGCAAAGTCATCGTGTGCAGATAAGAAGCTGTTGGACAGGAGGTGCTTTTTTGTGTTGTCTTTTAAAAATACTGTCTCAAATAGCCTTTTTGGAGGTGATTATACAGTACGACTTCCCTAGCTAAAATCCCCCTTGTTATTCTGTGGATTCTGCCTTCCAGAGCAGAGCCAGCGTTTCCCCCCTCGCCCCTTCCCGCCTGGCACGGCAGCTCGGGCAGCAGCTCCC